TCGAGAGAGGAGGATCGAGGATCGAGTGCGAATATCACATGTTTCGGAGGTTCGGGAATCGGTGTTCGAACTTGCGTGAACGTTAGATGGCGATGTTCGAGGTGTTTGGCGTTTCCAGCCGTCCTTCCTGGGACACTAGCACGATCCGGGCTGGACTAACATTTACCACTTGACTATGCTCCTCCCTGTCCTCCTGCCCCCCCTGGTCCCTTTCCATCCCGCCCCCCTTCCCCGCTTGCAGATTTCCCGGGGCGATCTTTCGCAAGATCGTCGATGCGCGGCAAAGTGAGCAATTCCCCCCCGACAGTGCTTGCGCTGCTACCCAAACCCCCGACGTCATGATTTTTTCAGAACGTCGACCCTCAGAGGTCTCGACCCGTTCCCCTGGACCGGTTTTTCATCCTGAATTATTATTTGACGGTCCCGAGGCCCAGTAAGGGCCTCCAGAGGCCGAAAATATGGAACAACCTCCCGTCATGATTTCTTCATTACCCGAGGGTGTCTTGGTACAGAGGCTTCTGCCTTGGGTTGGTGGGTTGGTTAAGACAAATTCGTTGGGTGTGCCAGGTTTTCGGCTGGTGCCTGGCCAGTTGGCGCCGGTGGGCCACATGGATTGCAACACATAGCTTGCTCCTCACACCTTGCGCCACAGAACACATCCACAGTGCCACGCTGGCAAACGGTTCATATCGGCGGCATTGCGCAGTGATGCCTGGAAGGTGCGCCAAGCACTTGAGCCAAACGGCGACTGGTAAACTGACGCGTCCCAAGTCGCAAAGTTCGGCATATTCGAGCACCCCTGTCACGTTGTCCTCCTCCTCCTCCTCCTCCTCCTCCTCCTCCCCTCCCTCATTCCCGCATCCCCTCCACCTCTGTGTCTCCTGTGTCCCAGAGGTGGTGGGCCTCCTGGGACACACCGAAACCTGCGACTCCGCAAGAACTCGCCCAATAGAAAGTTCTGACACAAACCGACCTCATGGAGGGGGCTACGCTATTTCCGTCGCAGCGCGGCATAGGCGACCCGCACGCAAGCTCTACGCAGTTGACCGGGAGCGGGCGACCTGATTGCCCGGCTGCAACAGGGGAGAAGGAGGCGGTGGGCGCCCGCGCAGGGCGCATGATAGCGGCAGGGCACTCACGGACGCCCCGTGCACCACGCCGCACAACTGGGGAGTGAGCCGCGGCTCCCGAACCGGCGATCCGCCCGCCGCAGGCCCCGACCGCAGAGCGTACCTCTCCTCGTCCTCCTCCTCCTCCTCCTTCTCCTCCTCGTCCTCCTCCTCCTCCTCCCTCCTCCTCCCTCCCCCTCCTCCTCCTTCTCCTCTTCTTCCTTCTCCTCCTCCTTCTCTTCCTCCTTCTCTTTTCTGTATTTCTCTTTATGTTCTTCTCTTTCTCCCTTTTTCTCTCTTTCTCCCTTCTCTCTATTCTTCTCTTTCTCCTTCTCTTGTTTCTGTTTCTGCTTCTCCTTCTCCTTCTGCTCCTCCTCCTGCTGCTCCCCCTCCTCCTAATCCTCCTCCTCCTCCTCCTCCTCCTCCTAATCCTCCTCCTCCTCCTCCTCCTCCTCCTCCTCCTCCTCCTCCTCCTCCTTCCCGGCAACGCAGAATGCCCGGGCGGCGGGAGTCCGCCATGGATGACATAGACGACGCACGGGCCGACGCGCTCGGGCGATTCCCCGGGGGCGGGGCTGGGGCGGCCGCTGCGGTGGCCCGCCCGCCTCCCTCGGATGGAGCCGCCGCCGTGCGGCGTGTGGCCCCTTGCCTGGCTGCTGCTGTGCCAGCGGCCCCGCGCGAGGTGCCCGACGCGGACGGCGACGTGGTGCTGGCGGAGGCGGTGCCCGGTGCGCCTGGCGGAGCAGCTGCCGCAGGAGCCTTCGGCGTGCTCGACGTGGAGGTCGACGCACGGCGACGGGCCCTGGTGCAGCGTGCGCTGGCTATCACCCGCGGTGCCTGATGTCCGTCGTCGGGAGTTTGCGCACGGTTCTGGAGGGCCTCCTCTGCCAACTTCTGTCACTGACGCTCCGTTGTGCTTCCCGCCCATTTTCCCTGCTTCAGGCGAGAGTGGCAGCAGGCAGCTGAGCCATACCTTTCATCAGACGCTTGCCGCTCAGTTTAATATGACGAGCAGGCCTCGACTCGCGCCCAGTGTGCTGTTCTGCGAGTCTTCAGGCGATTCTGACTAACTTTTTGTTAGCATGCTGATGTCCCCCACCGCCGTGAGACGTCATGCATTTGGTGGAGGAGAGCTGTTGAGCTCAAACAAATCCCAAGGAAGCACTACTTGAACACAACATGGGCCCACTGGGGATGCGGCGTGACATTGCTATGCTTGGTCTGATTTACAAGGTCACTCATGGGACAGCGCCGCCATCGTTGACTTCTCTGTTTCAACCCGTTCAGAGGCCAACTTGCCAGGTACGGGTGTTCATTGGATTCACGACTGCACACCAAGGCGTTGCACGAACCTCTCCAGCCCGGTCATCCTCGAGTGTTTCATCGGTCAATCTATGGTTTGCTTCCAATAGATAACCGTTTGCCTGACGTGGTGGTGCGCACCAGGTCTGTCGCAAAGGCTTCCGACGTGCGCTGCAGCGTCTTGCGAAAGATGGCGCCGCGTCTGGTAGCCATGAGTGGCTTCGGATGTTCCGCCCTGGCTGACGCCGCCGAGAGAATTCATGCGTCGCGTGTCGTTTGGATGATTGAGGGTCTGTCGTAGAAAAGAGCCCCCAAAGGCAGCAATCATTCATATCCGATGTGTTTCGCGTTCGCGCGTGTTCGGGCTGACGACGCTCCAACATGGCCCCAGAGGCCCCCAAGACCGCCCCAAAGACGGTCCAAGAGGGCACCGAAACAGCCCAAGAGGCGCCCAAGAGCGCCCAAGAGGGCGCCAAGACGGCCCTTAGAGGGGCCTAAGAGGGGAACACGAACCGACAATTCGAGCCTTCCCCTTAAGAGGCCCCCAGGAAGCACCAAGAGGCCTCCTAGAGAGCTCAAGCTCCTAGAGAGCTCAAGAGGCCCCCTAGAGGTCCCGCGAGGCCCCAAAGATGCCCCAAGAAGAGGGCCTGAGAGGCCCCCAAACGGCCCCCACCAGGCCTCAAAGCTGCCTGCAGGAGGCCCCCGAGAGGCCTCCCACACTATCCAAACGAACATCCAAGAGGCCTCCTCAGTGGAGGCCAGTCCCCAAAACAACCTTCCACAAGAAACCCAACCCTGAGACCCCAGGAAGTCCATTGCCTTCTGGCGTGGGAACGTCACGCTCTCCATCGCAGAACCATCGAAACCCAACAAAAACCAGGGCACCCTGGAGGCAAGCAGGGTGCTTCTTAGCATGGGCCTCCACTGCAAGTGTCTTCCTGAGGGAGCAGAATCGCCTGCGATGTTCTTCCTGCTCCCTCTTCGGCCACCCGGGGGACAGCCTTTCTCTTAGGTCGGGCATGTCCTCCTTCAGGCGGATTTGGCAGGACGGATTCAACAAAGAGCCGACCGCGTAGCCGGAAACCAAGTCGTTCCCAGACGATGCTTCGACTGCTCTCGCATCCTCCTCCTGCAGAAGGATGCCCGACTTACCCTCTGCGGGGTGCCTCTTGGCATGGGCCTCCACCGTCACCCGCAGCCCAGGCACGGTGGCGGGATGGGCCGAAGGCCACTGCACAGCAACCCCGCCCCACGGAGCGCGCGAGCGCATCCGGGCGGGCTGGGCGCGCCGCTGTGCCGCCCGCCCGCACAAGAAGGACGCACGCGGGGGATGCAGGGGCCTCGAAAGGCCAGGTCCACGCTCTGCGAGCGGGGCGCGGCCAGCGAGGGCGGCCGGCGAAAGCGGCCAAGGATGCAGGGGCAGCCTTGGAGCGCTGCTCATCCTTGCCATGCGGGTTGGCGGTAGCGGTGCTCCCGCTCCCGACTTCCGCAAGCCTCACGATCCCAGGGCGGCCATGTTTGGAGGCTGGGATCTTGCTTGAATGGTAGGCCCAAGGGGCGCCCGTCTTCCAGGGTGGCAGCTTGCACCATGAACAAAAGTGTTTGCAAGGGGTCTCTGGATGCAAGCACTTGGGAAGGAAGGGGCTGTTGCAGCATCGGTGACGCACTCCGTGCCTCTTCTCTTCATGCGCTGCTCCTCTTTCTCCCTCCGTCTTCCCCACTTCCTCTTCCACCTCCTCCTCCCCCTCCTGCTCCCTGCCCTCCTCCTTCCCTCTCTTCCCCCCTCGCCGCCGTCCCCCATTCTTCCCTCGCTCCCTGCGCGACCTTCCCCGTCGGCCCCAACTCCCCTGCTCCCTCCCTCCTCCCTCCTATAGCACTCCCCACCTCGTCCTCCGCTGCCTCCCCTCCTTCAAGACCCCCTCCTCCTCTGATTCTCGACCCTCCCCCTCCGCCCACTCCACCTCCTCCGGGGCCTTCGCGCAGGCGTCGAGCACGGAATTGAAGGTGACGATGTTCGGCCGCTGCCCGGCCCGCACCATGCGGTCGACCACCCAGCAGGCGCCGTCCGGGCAGCAGGCCTCTGCCGCACTTGGGGAGGCCTCGCTGCCAGCGTACAGCAGGGGCCCGACCACGAGAAAGACCCCGGGACGTCCTTTGATTTTGTGGCGTGGGAACGCCACGTTTTCCAACGCAAGACCATCGACGCCAAAGGAACCCAGGGCACCCTGGAGGTAAGCAGGGTGTCTCTTGCCATGGGTTTGCACTGTATTCTTTGTCCTTGTCGTCTTCCTCCTCAACCCTCCCCCTCCTCCTCCTCTTCATCACCATCCTCGTCCTCGCCATCATGACTTTGGCCCTCCTCGTGCTCCACCCCTTCATCTCATCATCGACCATCCTTCAGCTTTCCTCGTTCCTGCTGCAGCTCCTCCTCTTCATATGCTCCTCCTGAATTCCTCCTGATGCTCATCCTCATCCGTATCTCCCGCCTCGATGGCTCATCCTCCAAATATAATCCTGCAGTCCCTCTTGACGTCCTCGTCCTCGTTCCTCTCCTCCTCAGCCTTCTGATCCTCCTCGCTCTGGCTCTCCTCACTCTCCAGCCTTAGCACAGGCGTTGATAACGGAGTGGAAGAACATTTTGTTGCACACGTACCTGGTGGAGGAGGGGTGAACGAGCGTAGCACAACGAGGAGGATGGGAAGAAAAAGGAGGAAGAGGAGGAGGAGGAGGAGGAGGAGGAGGAGGAGGAGGACGAGGAGGTGGGACGAGAAATATGAGCCCACGCCAGCGGAGATCAAATCCAGGGAGTGCACCGCGAGTCCGCCACTCCGCACGGGGCAGCGAGCGCTGGCGACAGCACGAGCGCTACAGACGAGGGGCAGTGCGAGGAGGCGGGCCCACGGAGTCGTCCCGTGCGCTCGGGCGGCTCGGCTCGGCGCGCGGCTTGCAGCAGTCGAGGGACGGGCTCTTCTTGCTGCGAGGCGGCGGAGGAGGCGGAGGAACGAGGAGGAGCGAGGAGGAGCGAGGAGGAGCGAGGAGGAGCGAGGAGGAGCGAGGGGGAGCGAGGAGGAGCGAGGAGGAGGAGGAGGATGAGGCGGAAGATGAGGAGGCGGAGGAGGATGAGGACGGGAGGAGGAGGAGGAGGAGGAGGAGGAGGGCCACATGTTGAAAACCGCCCGCCCTCAATCTGTGAAACGGTTGCCACTTTTTAGCTTCAGAATCATACACGGTGAGGAAGTCTGAAGCAAAGCGCCCCAGCCCGCCCTGACAACTGGCCTCGGGGTGCGACCTGGCGAAATTACTCAGAAGGAAAAATGGAGGAGGAGGAGGAGGAGGAGGAGAACGCAGGTGGTGCAATAACGCTACAGGCCCCGCCTCGTGACTACCTCACGTCAACCAAAAAAAACAAACAGGTGGTGTGACCCTGGCACGGGCCAGCGCTGTGCGTTCTCGGCTGTCATCGGGAGCTTCGGGGAGGAGGGGGGGCGAGGAGGGAGGGAGAGGGAGGCCAAAGGCGGAGCCTGGGACGCCCAAGGGAGGAGGGACGAGGGAGGAGGAGGGAGGAGGAGGAGGAGGAGGAGGAGGAGGAGGAGGAGGAGGAGGAGGAGGAGGAGGGGAGGAGGAGGGGCGAGGGAAGGAGGAGAGGAACGAGGGAGGAGAAGGAGCCCGGGACGACGAGGAGGGCGAGGGGGGGGAGGAGAAGGAGGAGGTGGAGGAGGTGGAGGAGGAGGAGGAGGAGGAGGAGGAAGAGGAGGAGGACGACGACCAAGGGCGAGAGGGAGGTAGGCGCGTGTTTCCATCCTGCAGCCCAGCCAGCAGCGCCTCCGCGGCGGCGGTGTCCCCGGCCGCGAGCCTGCTCGAGACCTGCCGTGCCAGGGTGGCCTGGACGCGCCGCGCGGCGGTGCCCGCCCCCCCCCCTCCTGGCGCAGAGGGGGGGGGAGAGGAGGGGACATAGAGGTCCGACGCTCCAACAAGAATATGAGCGGCTGGTCTCTGGCATTGTTCGGCCTCCAGGGGGGCCCTCGCCGGGCCTCGGGAGCGGCAAAAGACGACTCAGGACGAAAAACTGGCCCTGGGGGAGTGGTCCGGACCTCTGAGGCCAAGGCGTCGCAAAGATGGAGCAGCCACATCTTTGGGGAGGAAGGAGGAGGAGGAGGAGGAGGAGGAGGAGGAGGAGGAGGAGGAGGAGGAGGAGGAGGAGGGGAGGGGAGGGAGGAGGAGGAGGAGGAGGAGGAGGAGGAGAAGGAGGAGGAGGAGGAGGGGAGGAGGGGGAGGAGGAGGAGGAGGGAGGATGGAGGGTGGAGCACCAACATCTTTGGGGAGGGAGGCGGGGGGGAGGGGGACGAGGCGAGACAGCAGCAGCACGTGCGAGCGCCCCGAGACGAGGGCGAGGGAAGGCAGGAGGACCAGGGGAGCACGCGCAGCTCGAGCAGCGGGGAAGAGGACGAGGGGGGGGGAGAGGACGAAGGGAGGGAGGACGGGGGGGGGGGAAGGGGAGGGGTAACTAGGGAGGTGAGGGGGGGAAGGGGGGCAGGGGGAGGCTCTCCCCCCTCCTCCTCCCTCCTCCATCCTCCTTTTGACGTTGCACAGATGCGCAGGCTTGAGGCCAGAGCATGGAGGGCGCATGAACAAGAAGCGCCGACCTAGCGGAGAGCGACACAAATTAAGCCTGGCTGGCGCAGCTGACTAAGGCAGGCGAAAAGTACAGGAATAGAAGAGTGCCCAAAAGGGCACGTAGTATGCGCAAGCCCGGCGGTGTGTAGGGAGGAGAGACCGAGCGACCCCCATCCCCCTCCTCCTCCTCCTCCTCCGCCTCCTCCTCCTCATCATCATCATCCTCCTCATCATCATCAACATCATCAACATCATCACCATCATCCCTTCTCCATCCTCTCTCCTCTTGATATCCTCCATCTCCCCTCCTCTCCAGGACTATGCCGGACAAGCGCATCTCAAGCATGATCTGGGCTGGATTTCGACTGAGGACATGCAAGCACCGATGCAGAAATTCATGTATCACACGAGCTGGATCTTCAGGACGGAGGCATGATGGGCCCATTTTCCACCACCACTACCACCATAGGTATGAGGAGGAGGAGGAGGAGGAGGAGGAGAAGGAGGAGCGAGAAGGGAGAGCGAGGGAGAAGGGGTCGTTTAACCAGGCTTGCTGTTCCTCTACCTGGCGGGCGCAGGTTCAAAGGTACTCTTCTCTTCGGTGCTTCTCAATCGCCTTTCTTTGCCCGCCTCCTCCCCGCCAAACTGATTTTGTTTGACCCTGGGCCTGAGTCGGCCTCCTCAATATTTTCCCAACCCCAGAACGCCACGATCATCAGATCCAGGTCCGTGCAACGTCAAATTGCGAGGGAGACGGGCTGCTGCTGCGGAGCGTCGGACCGAGTGCCCCGCTGGTCTCGTCGCCAGCTCTTCTTCAGGGAGAACTTGAGTGCAGGGCTGGACCTGAACGTTGCTTTTCCTTTGCTGTTCGTTTTGCTCTACCTGTTTTCCTGTACCTCCCGACCAGAACGAAAAACAAAACGCAGCCCAAGTCCAGCAAAGCAGCGTTTACGTCCAGCCCTGCTTGAGGGTGAGGCAGCGTGAACGGAGAGGCAAGGCGACTGGCGAAGAGGCGAGCGCCAGGCCTGCTCCCCTCTCTGGAGGGAGAAGGGGAGGGGGAGGGGGCAGAGGGAAGGGAGAAGGGGGAGGAGGAGGAGGAGGAGGAGGAGGAGGAGGAGGAGGAGGAGGAGGAGGAGGAGGAGGAACGGGAGGAGGAGGGGGAGGAGGAGGGGGAGGAGGAGGAGGAGGAGGAGGAGGAGAGAGAAGGAGGAGGGGGAGGACGGAGGAGGAGGAGGAGGAGGAGGAGGAGGAGGAGGAGGGGAGGAGGAGGAGGAGGAGGAGGAGGAGGAGGAGGATTTTTTTTCAACATCCACATCCAAGACTGCCACCAGCGAGACTGGACTGTAGAGATTTAAATCGCAATTTAAATCCGCCTCACTCGGTGAGGTCTTGAATACCTTCGGGGTCTACCCTCAGACTCGAACTGTAGCTGGGGTAAAGACCTCGAAGCAACCTGCGCCAAAGACACTTCTTTTGTGTCGACATCTTGCGGTCACACCTCCCAAGGAGGTTGGACTTCTTTAGAGACCCAGGACCGACAAAAGAGGCGCAGTGAGTACATATGTGCAACAATTCTCCGTTGTCACACGGCAGGCCGACTACGAAATGGCCATTCCTCTCCATCTCCCCAAAATCCCAGTCCCCACGTTTGCCAGAGCATCCTCTGGGCGGGGGGCGGAGCTGAGACCGAGAGGCCTTGAGACATATATTGCAACGCCAGCGGCCAGCCACAAATTCCCAAACGTGCAAAGGGCGGACCGAGTGCCCGTCTCGGGCCCGCCCCACAGGGGCTTGAAACAACACATCTTTCAAATCGAGCCTCGGCCACTTGAACAGGAGAGCCGCGGCCAGTCTGCACACAGTTTTGGCCACGAGCAGCGTATTATCGAGGGCCTGGGACTGCTCGGCGGTGGGCTCGTCATGCAGACGCAACCCAGCTTTCGCTGCCTGATCAGCCTGGAAATTCCCTCTACGAAGCTGCATCTCTCCCTCGGGCACATTCTCTTCTTCGAGGGACAAGTGGGCCTTGACTTTGTTCACCGATTTAATGTGGTGTGACACTCTCTGACTGTGCAACAAAAGCCCCGCATAGGGCCTCTGGTAGTGTAGCTGCTCACCCAGGGGTCGGTTGGCCTGTACATGAACGTTGGCACAGTCCGTGTACATATCACAGTCATCTTCTACTACTTGGCTGGAACAGCCAAAGGCGGCAAACTCCCCTGCCTGAGAGGTTTGGGGGAGCCCCGCGTAAACCGTGCCGAAAACTCTACCTAGGAACCTGAACGCCCGATCGTAAATCGCAAGACCCCAGGCCGCCCTGTTAAGCTCTGGCACGATACACCTGGTGCAGCTACCGTCCAAGAACAGTTCCCCCCTCACCATGCCGTCCTCCTCCGTGACATCCTCCTCCCATTGCCACACGGTCTTACACTCCTTGTCTGGCCTCGGCCAATAGTCCCCTGGGTGAGGAAAGATACCGCGGGTAAGTAGGAGTAGGTCTTGGGGGTTTTCACTGTCCATGTCGTCCACTAGCTTCTGGCACTCGTCTGAAACAATCTCTGCACGCTCTTCGGCACATGCCTCGCAACGCCACAATCTGTGGAGCAGCGTGTCTGGCCCTTGACCGCACAGAGGACACTCCACCGACTCCAACTGATAACCGAGGCAACGCGCACGAACTCGGGTCCAACTGGCGTCGCATCCTATCAGACGGATCGCCGCCTTGCCAGCAGGTGAGAACTTGCTAGAGTGCAGGGACCTCTTGAGCACATCGAAGCACAGGCGAGGGACCTCCAGGACCGATTTTTGAGCAGCAACTCGCTCCAAACTCCGAAGGACAGCTTGACGCAACAATATCTTCAGAAGCCCAGGACTAACCTCCGTCAAAATTAACTTCTCCCCGAAATCGTTCTCCCAGGAGACCCAGTCAATCATCTTCCACTGGATCCTCTTAAGACACATGTACAACGCGGAGAAAGGCCCCGTGACATCCCTCCACGTCGCTGGCGGGGGCTTGGCGAAGAAGATACTCCACGCCTCGCGCAGCTCCGTGAAACTGAAACACCAGCGGTATGCACCTGAGTGGGCACACCACAGCTCCTTCGAGTACCTGACAAGGGGCGCCACCGCCGCGAGCCACGTAGGCTCATCTTCTAAGATAAGCAGGCTTGTGAGCGATCTACCTTTACAGCTAGGCCCCATCACGGAGCCGGCCTGCTGCCGAATACGGTGGAGCTCCCCATCCGAAATCCCGTGGACTTCCGACCCATACAGCACCCCAGGGAGCGGACCAGAGACCCAGATTCTCTTGGCGTGGGAGGTGATCTGTTTTTTCATCATCCTCACCTTCCGTGACTTGGCCTTCAAGTTGGCCATGCGGATCTTGAACTTGGACTCGCGGAGGGCCCGTCGGATGTAGGCCTTCCTTCGAGACCTGCCAGCCGTGAAATCTATGCCTAAGTCCACAATGCTGTCGGCCAGCGGGCCCGTGCGGTCGCCTAGGAAAATCTGCAGCTCCCTGGCGACGGCCCCGTCCGAGCAAACGAGGTTGCCTTGGCCCGCCTTGGACAAAGAAATGGAGCAGCCGCACTCGTGGACCAGAGCCTGCTCCAACTGCCGAGAACCTTCTTTTATACCCCAAGAAACATCCAGGGCCGAACCCGTGGAGTCCAGACCCGAGTCGTCGATAAACTGAGCCAGGAAAACTCCCCGAGGAAGGTTCAGATTGCTCAAAGGACCCAGGAGATAAACCCGAACCAGGGAAGTGGCCATAGAGCAACCAGCCACCACTCCACGACGCGCGAAAAAAGGCCCAGCGACCGCCGAGGCCATGCTCACAAACCTCCCGTACCTGTAGGCAGAGACGCACAACTGGGTGATGGCCGTGGGGAAACCGAACTTACGAGCCTCAGCCACAAGTCTTTCGTGAGAAAAGTTTTCATAAAACTTAGTCATATCCCACAAAAGCATGGCCGAGACTTCCCCTTTCCTGGTGCTGAGCTCGGCTCGGGCCGCTTGCCGCCACACCGTGTCGGCCGCGCAAGCGAAAGAACTGCCAGCAAAGAATATCCTAGCATTCCTCGCTTCCCACTCCGCCGCCAGCTCCCTTCTGCATTTCCCCCAAAGTCTGTAAAGGGAAACAAACAACCCAATGGGCCGATATCCCCCCGACGCTTTAGAGAGAAGCACCACCTGAATAATCTGGAGCTGGCGCGGCAGGCTGGAGAGCGATTCGAAGATCGCAAACAGGAGGCTCACCACCGCTAGCGCCGAGTCCGACAGCCACGAGTAGTGCCTCATGTGAAACCCATCCACCGCCTGTGCCGTGGTGGCCTTGAAAGCGGCAGATGTCGACCTAATCTGGTCGGTCGAAACCATGGGGAGGGGCTGACATACCCCTTCAAACAGACAGTCGGGCGCCTCAGAGCCCGCGTGCCACAGCTCGGCCCAGCCAGAGGCCTCGCTCTTGAGCAAACTAAGAGGGTCCGAAAGCACCAAACCCCCGGCCGATAAGGTCGTGGTAGCTTTCCAACCATGGGCCTCCTTGGAGGCCAGGTGGGCATTCTTTCCCCCCTCTTTGATTTTTGTGAGCAGCCAGTTTTTCCACCCCATCTCGCCGTCAAGACGAGCTTCTCCTTGAAGCTTGGTCACATACTGCTGCACTAAAACCAAAGCATCTTGAGCAGCCTCCAGCCACTCGGACTTGCCCAACTGCTGGCTCTCCCCGCTGGTGATCTTGCCGACGGGGACGGCTCGAGCTAAGGACTGAATCGTGCTGAGATACTGGTCCCACTCAACGCAGCCGACGATAAGCACGAAGGACGGGGGCTTCAACAGGGACTCCCTGGTCTTCGAGGCCTCCAGAGCTCCTTCCCTAAACTCGATGATCAGGTCCTGGAACCTGTGATACACCCACTTGCCCGCGAACAACTTGGGGTGCCTGAACGGGGGGGCCTTGTCCTTGATGATGGGAACCCAATGCAGTTGCGGTGACTTACTACGGGCACCATAGTACGGCAGCGTGATCTGGGCCAAGTCGCAAAGCTCCCTCTCGGCCAAATCCGCCCAACGCCCATAGACCCAATCAAGCCTCTCCTGAGCCTCCGAGATCTGGCCCGAGAGCGCCGTACCTAAACACCCCTCAGCAGCGTCCTGCACCTCACCCCAGTCTGGCGGTGAGCGGCCGACCCCAATCGGCCTCTCTCTGGGAATGGGCGGTGGCTTACGGAACGTGAGCGCGCACAGCTGAGCAAGCCGAGGAAAAAGTTGCAGATGGACGGGCTTGTGCGGTGTCAGCTGCGCCACCTGCACTATGCTCGTCGACTGAATGCCCTTCGCAATGCCCCCAGTGCACACAAAATAATCCAGGAAGTTCAGACCTCCCAACGATCTGCAGGTCCCAGAGCCAGCAGGTTTGATCAGAGACCCCTCCAACTTCTCAGGGAAGCCCGACTCAAGAAGGGCTTCAGGAGACATGTTCCAGTCGCCTCCAAGAATGGCCTGGTGCCCCGACATCTTCACAGTAGCCCCAGCGGTACTGAGTAGGTCGAGGTTCCTGCTGGACAAACCTTCACTATCGTGTAAGTACGCCGACAGGACCAAAAACGGCACATCCCCAGGAAGATGAACCAAGGCGTTGATGAGACGGCCAGCCGAAAGCGAGGAGCCCCACAGAGGCTCATGTAGCCCCAGGAAATCCCGCGCCAGGATGCCGACTCCCCCAGACGAGCCCTCACCTTGACCAGCAATAGCAGGGGTAAGTATCGCCTTCCATCCATGACGGCTGCACCATGACGTTGCCTCCCTCAGTGCAGTGGGCTTGACGATGTGGTGCTCTTGCAGACAAATAATGTGCGCCGTCGTGTTACTGAGCCACTCTTTGAACGAGTTCCAGCAAGTGGCATTACAGCTCTCCACGATGAGACCGAAACCAGAGGGACAGGGCGGCTCTGGGGGGGCCTGCAGAAAGTCGAAAGAGCTAGCGGCTCCGATGAGACTGGGGACCCCTGGGTGACTGGCAGCACAGGCAGCACTGAACTCACACAGAAGCGGAGGGGGGAGCCTGCCTCCAGCAGGCTCCTCAATAGACGAACCGCAGGCCATCGACGGAGGCGCTACCGAAGCCGCCGAAGACGACCCCGATGTCCCACACGTCGTAGTCGCACTCGAAGTGAACGAGCACCCAGGCGCAGCACTCGACCGAGTAACCGAACGACCTCTCTTCGCTCCCCGCCTCGAGCCTTGAAAGTCGTCTGCCTGATGAACCCGCGCACCCGTCGGCACCGATGTCGACCCAATACAACCTGCGGGTGTCGCCGCTGGGGTAGCGCCCTCGCCCTGCCCAGAAGGCGCATGGCTTACGCCAAGAGCTTTAACGTCCCCGACCGACTGGGAGCAGGGGAACGTGGCACCCCCCATTGGCGAACCCCCCGCAGGCGCGCCCTCGGCGCGGGCCGCCCCCCCCCCATTGACCCCCTTTGGGGGACCTCTGGCCACAGGTATGGCTGCCAGGGGCGGAGGGGGGGCCCGAGAAGTGCGCGGCGTCGATGCCGAGCAAAAAGAGGAACCACGTCTGGCCTCCGCCACAGAAGCCGAACGCGTCGTAGACCCAGACTGGAGGCCAGTCTTCGCAATATCGCAGTAGGTGAAACGCACACGACATCCCCTGGTAGTTCTGGACGAACTGCCGCCGTGTCTCAGTATACTTCTCGTATCGCTACCCACAATGCTTGGTAGCCTCTGCCTTGCCGTTGCATCCACTCGCCACCTCGGTCGCCGCTGCCACGGCTGCCCGAGCGGTGGCCTTGAGCTTCTCCGAGTCACCCTCAGCGCGTGCAGGCCCTGCAGGCTCAGCGACTTCAGGCAGTTCAGGAGGTGCCACAGGAGCCTGCGCCCCCGCGATGCCGTCCCCGTCGCTGTCTCCCGCGTCTCCCTCTGCAGTGCGCCGCTTCTTGGCCGCGAGCCGCTCCTGCATGACCTTGTGCTCGGCCTGCAGCGCCTGACCCTTCTGGCGCACCTCTCCGAAGAACGAGCCCGCCATCTGCTTGAACGATTCCAACATCTGCTTCTTCCTGGACTTTGCCTCCTCCAAGGCCGCGGGGCCGAGCTCCTCGAACTCTGTGTAGCCGAAGAGCCCGTCGTCCTCCAGGTCGATGTCGTCCAGCTCCCCGTCCATGAGCTTTGCCAGCGAGAGCTTGATTGGTTCCACTTTCGCAGGGGCCTGTCCGCTGACCCCCGCAGCCACTTCTGCCACAGCGACCCTGTACTCGTTCTCGGCCGAGTCCAGCTCCGACACCAGCTCGGAGACCAGAGCCTTCTGCTTCTCCACCTGCTCCAGCAGGTTTGCCAGCACCGCGTTCTCAGCCTCGAGCTTCCCCTTCGTCTTGCGCAGCCGAGCGTGCGCCTTGTTGGCCCTGAGCTGCGCGGGCTTTTTGTCCTCCGAGCCCTTGTCGGCCTGCTCCAGCAGCTGCTTGTACTTCGCCGCCGTCGCTTTGTCACCTGATCTCTCCGCCATGGTGACCATCGAACGCAGCTCGTCCCTGGAAAGGGCCGTGGGCGCCTCAGGCTGAGACTTGATGCGGATGGCTTCTCGGTACTTCTCGGCCATCTGCTTGTCCCCCTTCTGCTCAGCGAACACCACGAGGGCCTGCATGGCATCCACTCCGAGGTCTGGGACGTGCGATCCAGCAGCACCACCAGTCCTGCCAGCACCCCCACGAGGCGTATCACGCGCCCACGGTGGCTTGGACTCGCCCCCGTTGCGCTCCTTGCCGCAATGCTTGCACCAACGCCAATGGGCCTGGTTCTTGGCACAACGACAGTCGGCCTGCGAGCAACGCCAGAACTCGCCTCCCTCCGACCGAGGTCTCGATGGCGCGCGGGACGATGGCCTTGAGCTCCTGCCGCCCTTGCCACTGTCGCCAGCACCCATGGCCACGAGATGACCGTCTCCGTGGTGGTGCCGTAGTACGCGCCTCGCGCGCTCGAGCGCCAGGAGGCTGCGCGCGCTGGCGCGCCGCCTCCGCAGCCGCCTGTGCCAGGCGGGCGAGGGCGGCCTATGGCGGCGCCCTTCGCGCTCCGTGGTGACGCCCTCCGCCCCTGGGGCAGAAGGCTGGGGGCTCAGGCAAAAACGGGCCCCCTCTGGCCCGCAGGTCTGAGCCGACCTGGAGGAGGAGGAGGAGGAGGAGGAGGAGGAGGAGGAGGAGAAGGAGGAGGAGGAGGAGAGTGCAAGGAGGGGCCGCGGCCGAGGCCGACACCCGACCGGCCTGTCTTTTTGTTGCCCGCGAGCGCCCGGCACCCCCAGGGTCAACCCCAGAAGCGCCAGCGATGCTTCACCACACCATCGCGCCAAAGTCAACAATCAACAATTTGCACAGGCATCAAGACGCTCCCCCCCCAGCGGAGGAGCTATCCCTCGAGGGGGGACTCTCCACCATCCGAGAGACATCGTGGACCCCTTTGGCGGTAGACAAACTTGAAGGGGCCCTGGGACACACAAGTAATGACTACCTACCAGACCACCCCAACCCAACCCGAAGACCAGAATTTCGGGTTGGGGGGGGTACGGGTTCCATCTGTGTGTTCTCAATGTTCCCCGACCCCCCCCCACTGGAAATGGAGGGCAAATTGAGACCTTCGGGTTGGGTTGGGGTGGTTTGGTGGGTGGTGAAGAAAATACATACAAATAACAGGATTCACCAGCTGTTTTCCATATGTTTTGCAGTTTCGTCTTCCCCCCACTTCTGATATGTTTGCATCTTTTCATGGGAATCGACGATTAATTGTGTCTGTGTGTCTTCTTCCCTCCTGAACACCTCCATTTAGTAAGCCACCCTTTAGTGAAAACGGCCTGGGACCGAAACCAGCGGACCTGGACCCGCAAAAACGACGGCCGCGACGCCCCCTCGCGAGGTGAGAACGGCTAATTCGCCAATCGAAGGGCAGGAGGTCGATCAACATCCGACCCCCGTCCCAAATCTCACTGCACCGACCTTGCAGCGGTGCTGCAGCGGATTTATCCGTGGATTTCTGTCAGTGCAAAGCTCCGAAGCGTCGAACGAAAAACGAAGTGAAATTCACATGGATTTTTTCTAGTCCTCATCCCTGGCCAAGCAAAATCCGCACGAAATCCACTTCGAAATCCGGAACGAAATTCTCCAGGACACTCCAAGTCCATCCGATTGAAATCCGGAGGAAATCGGCTCTGCGATGTTGGCGCCATGGCAAGTCCCCTCCCCACTGGTCTATGGAAGCCTCCCTTTTCACTGGGAGAACAGCCCCATGGAGTGACTAGCAACCTTTGTGCCTGCCGGTCGCGCGAGTCTGGACTTGAGGAGGAGCTGTCTTGCATCCATCTAGCGCGTGATCAAGAATGCTACCGAATTGACTGAAGACCGCCCCCATCCGTCCAACCCTTGCACAAATCCGCAATGTTGGCAATAATACAGTGGGGGCATTGACCTAAGGAACCCTAAATAAGGAACGAGGCCCCTTTTTCCCATAAGTTCAACCTCGATTTCCTATGGAAACCCTCAGGAAAACCCGAGGCAAACTGTAAAACATTCAAGGAACACCGAGCCCCTCCCCAACGAAAAGGGTTCCTTCTTCAGGGCCCCGACTGTAATCGAAGAAATGTGAAGAGAGATGCCAATCATGAAAATAAACCCCATCTATCCGAGCAGCTGTTACACATGTTTGAGCTTCTGGCCTGTAAACTTCCAGGAGCCCCCGGAAGGAAAGCCCCATTTGAACAAGGAGTCGTCGCTCATCCCTGAAGCACTGCGGCAAGCTTGTCAAGACGAGAGCCCTCGTTCTAAGACGAATGCGTGCGGCGCTGAGGCAAGATCGCCAATTTGAAAGGGAACCGCCCCCCATCCTCGTAACTGCGTCAGGTTCGTGTCGTGCCGACTTCGGCGTTGGCTCCCGACACCGCGGGGATCGTCAGGCCTTGAACGATCGGCCGCTGCAAGAACGTCCAAATCGTTCCACATCGAACGATTCCGGGTCGCCCGCAGCGTTCAGAGCTGAACGCAACTCGCGGGGTCGCCGCCAGCCGACACGACACGGACCTATAGTAAAAACGTATAGCAAAAACGGGTGATAAGGAAGCAAGACCCTTGGAGGCCGAAATTGGTTTTTTTGGGGCGGCGGGCGACCAGTGATAATGGCAAGGACGGGCCTCAGAGGTAAGGACACAAGGGTACCCGAGATGAAGGCGCGCGTCCTTACTAGGCGCGTGGACTGCACCGTGCTGCGAGCGTGCAGGAAACGATCTGCGTGTGCGCACTCCCCGCGGCGAGAGCGCCCCGTGCTTTGAAAAGGGGGCCGCCCTGCGTCCCGGCAGGCTGCGGCAGGCTGCGGCAGACTGTGGAGGAGAGAGGCCGCGCGGCGCCAGGGCTTTTTCTTGATCCGCGGGTCGAGAGCGAGCCTCTTCCGAGCTTGAATTCGCTGAGGGGGGGCAAGAGGAGAGGGGGGGGCAAGAGAAGAGGGGGCGCTACGCGGGCCGCGCACAGCCTGAAGTAGCAGAGAGGGGGGCAAAAGAAGGCGGGGCCTCACGGCAAGGCCGAGAGAGGGCAGAGCCCTGGGACCGGGCGGTGCCGAAATGGAGGTGCAGGAAAAGGTACGCCCTGGACAGGAGCCCGGACACGAGCCTCCTGTTTGGGGATGTGCCAACCTACCTTATAGCCTGATCGCCAGAAAGGTTCTCGAGCGCCAGAACAATGCCAACAAAAACTCGAGGGTTTTCACGTGTCGGGCCCTGGGCGACTCTCATCCGACACGGTTTCGACGCTGTTTCGGCACTCTGTCGGCACTTTTCTGGGTGCTCGAAATTATTTCTGGGATGTGGTCCTTAAGTACGATGGGCGCAGCATAACCAATGTTGAAAGCGGCACACCCTACATCCTTGTAACTGCTGCAATCGCTCCAACGGAATATGCGCGGCGCCCAGGCGAGAACCCCATGTTCCCATGTTGAAGACCACCGATGCTCCTTGAAGACCACCTGCGCTCCATCGTTGCAGCTGTCGCGAAGGTCAGACAACATGGCCAGACGTGGTAAGGAAGTCTCAGGCGGAAAGCCCAGCACGTCCTACCGACACGCCTGAGGGTGCTACAGGGAGGAGTTGCATGTGACGAAAGTGGATGGAGCAGGGAGGGTCAGGATGAGGGAGGAGGACGAGGAAGCCGGACACAACAGTGCTATTATGGAGGAGAGGACGCGCTTGTGATCCACTGCCTGCGATTGCACACGACGGCAAAAAGAGGGGGGCGGAGGAGGGAGGGAGGACGGGGGCAGATCTGGGAGGGCCCGCGCTGCTTCTGCCCTGCCCCCCCCCCCTCGCTGTACTCCCCGGGAGCGCTCGCGCCGCGGCCTTGTCCGCAGGGAAAGCCATCACCCGGGCGGGTCGGGGAATGGCTTAGGCCGGTCATGCCCCCCTACAGGCGGCTTCTGGAGGAAAGAACAAATATAGTCAAAAGAAACTCAAGAATAGCCAAACATACAAAAAAAAATCGTCCCCAGACTATTGCTTAACCGTTATTGAATTCCTCCTGTATCAGGGGCGCGCAAGCATGGATTGACGATCCATGGATTTGACGCGCGGTTGCCAAGTCCATGGGGCGGGGGAGGTAGCCTCCCCAAAATGCGGCCGGTGCCGCTCCGTCCGGCGGCGGAGATCCGCGATTTCCCGTGGAAGCGGGACCCGTCGCTCATCCACGCCCCCTCGATCCATGTCTGCGATCGCCTGACTGTAGAGGGGCAGGCCCCGCCTTCAGGAGTGGTGCGGCTCGCCGATGCCTCCCTGCGCCCAAAACTGGAGCCAAAACGGGCTTGGGGGGGGGGCGCAGGAGGAGGAAGAGGAGGAGGAGGAGGAGGAGGAGGAGGAGGAGGAGAGGAGGAGGAGGAGGAGGAGGAGGAGGAGGAGGGAGGAGGAGGAGGAGGAGGAGGAGGAGGAGGAGGAGGAGGAGGAGGAGGAGGAGGGAGGAGGAGGAGGAGGAGGAGGAGGAGGAGGAGGAGGAGGAGGAGGAGGAGGAGGAGGAGGAGGAGGAGGAGGAGGGAGGAGGAGGAGGAGGAGAGGAGGAGGGAGGAGGAGGAGGAGGAGGGAGGAGGAGGAGGAGGAGGAGGAGGAGGAGGAGGAGGAGGAGGGAGGAGGAGAGGAGGAGGAGGAGGAGGGAGGAGGAGGAGAGAGGAGGAGGAGGAGGAGGAGGAGGAGGAGGAGGAGGAGGAGGAGGAGGAGGGGGGAGGGGGGGGCGCGAGCCGCGAGCCGGCGGGGGGCGAGCCCGCAGACGAGGCAGCGCCGCCGCCCCCCAGGCTGCAAGAGGCGCCCTCCGAGGTGCCAGGCCTCCCAGGAGCCCTCCAGGTCGCCCATAACTCCGCGCGCCCAGGGGGGCACGAGTACAGAATGCTGTTCGCCTCAACTGCCAGTCCTTCACCGTCTATTGCGCGATGTCGGTTACGATGGCAATCAAGCCACGATTCTGATGTTGAGACTTCTTCTGCTTTCGTCTCGCCCTGTGTGCTGCGATCGAGGCCCCGACACACTTACCGAAGAAACAGAAACACCTTTGCTCGATGCTGGCGCTCTCTGCCGCGAACTTCGCGCACCCAGGAGGCCACAGGCGCACCCTAAGCCCACTACCCCACGATTTTTCTCTGAGGGAAGGGGAGGGGTCCTGAGGGAGACGGGTCCTGCGTATAGGAGGCCGCGTGCGGACCCAACCCCACCACCCCACGATTTCTACGGAGGGGAGGCGGGGCCCCCTTCGCTCGGGACCTCCCGAGCGAAGCGAACCCCACCTCCCCCTCTCAGAGATCGCGGGCTGGTGTGGCAGGGATCGCATGGGGCCTCCCAGCACCGCGCCCCACGAGGCGCGATTAGCTTTAGGTCGGGCATGTCCTCCTAGAGGCGGGTTTTGGAGGAGATATTCAAAAATAGACAAAGAAGAACAACGTAACATATCAATCAACCGTCCCCAAGCTATTGTTTGACTATGTTTGAATACTCTCCGTGTAGAGGGGCATGCCCGACGTACGATCCGCGCTGTGCCCTGGCGCCCTCGCGTCGCCCCCCAGGGAAAAGGGCAGCGGGCTCTGGCCTTAGGTCGGCCATGTCCCCCGACAGGGGGAATGTTCAAATTTTATCAAGCAATAGTCTGGGGAGGATTATTCTACTATGTTTCGATATGCACTTCTTCTCTTAACTAGTTCTAATGGTTCGCCCAAAATCCCCCTGTTGGGCATGTCCCCCAACAGGGGGATTCTGGGCGAACCATTACACATAGCTGAAAGAAGAACCGAGCATATAAAAAACAGTAGAAAAGTCCTCCCCAGACTATGATTTGATATTTTTGAGCATTCCCCCTTTAGAGGGACGGGCCCGACTTCAGACTAGCTTTGCGCCCTCGCGCCTTCGCGTCGCCCCCATGGAGAGGCACAGCGGCGCGCGCAGCGCGCGAGGAGCGCCCCTGCGGGAGGCCTATCGGACTCCCAGGGGGCGGCCAGGAGGGGGGCGTCCAGAAGGAGAGCTCGCAGCTCCTTGCCCGAGGCACGTGCGCGGCCGAGGTGGGGGGAGCGTACCGAAAGAAGAATACTATGAATAAGAATAAGAATAAGGAGAAGCATTATGATACTACTCATCAAACTGAAAAGAAGACGAATAATGATAATACGAACGATAAGAAGACCACTGCAAAACACTGATACGAATACGAATAACAATAATGAGCTAAAACGACTGACAACCATAAAGAATTATATTACGGAGAAGAACAGCAATAAACGTACTACTACTAATACTACTACTACCACTACTACCACTACTACTACTACTACTACTACTACTACTACTACTACTACTACTACTACTACTACTACTACTACTACTACTACTACTACTACTACTACTACTACTACTACTACTACTACTACTACTACTACTACTACTACTACTACTACTACTACTACTACTACTACTACTACTACTACTACTACTACTACTACTACTACTACTACTACTACTACTACTACTACTACTACAACTACTACTACTACGGATAATAAGAAAAGTCATGGCATCTAGGAGGCATCATGTCCCCGGCCATGACGTCCACCCCAAGTCATCATCACCCCCGTGGGGGGGGGGGCCCGTGGCAAGCCCCGAGACATTCCGCAAGAAGGCAAATTGGCATGACAACTTGAACGGGGACCGACCGTCCTGGCATTTCTATCAGCCTACCACGGAATTTTCTAGACCCCAATAATGTTCCATTAACAAAACCATGTTCTTAGAACATAGGCCCGATGAGTTAAAACAAGATAGGCACAGCCAGAACTGATCTACGAACATGTCGTGCACACCACAAAGGGTTCTTGGAACTTTCTTTGGTGGGCCTATAGGGGAGCCGGGACGCTTTGCCACTGCTTGAACAACAGGCAAGCGCGCTCCACGACTCCCAGAGCAACTGCGAGGCAAACATGTGTGTTTCGAACGTTTGCGGATACTCGGGGATGGACAGACCCCCCTTTAGTAAAACGTGGTTTAGTGAAAGCGACCTGAGGCCCAAACCTGGCGGGCGCAAGCCCGGAAAATAACGGCCACGGCGCCATCTCGAGAACCGAAAACGGACAATTCACTAATCGACGTGTCACTGTTGGGGGTTCTGTCCACCCCCGAGACACGCACCCTGCGACGAAAGCAACGTGCCCGGCTCTGGTTTTTAGGCGTGGCGGCAGCGGGTCCTGAGCGAAACGGGCCCTGGACCCTGGGGCCTTCTTCTGAAGGGGCCCCAAGGCCACACACATAGATACACACAAGTAAAGAGATTTCCTATATTTTTCCATATTTCATTTTGATTTCTGTCTTCCCCCTCACTTCCCCTATTTCCCCATATTTTCCGGGGAATCGAAGATTAATTGTGTCTGTGTGTTTTTTCCCCTCCTAACTTTTCCCAGGACGGGATCTGAGGGCCGAGTCGCGTTCTGGCAACCCCGGGGCCCGAGGGCCCCGAGACGCCCGACCACTGCGACAAAAACATCAGAACCCGCATTCCCTCGGGTCCTGTTCCCAGGCATGCGACGGCCTGATTTTCTCGGGACGGCGTACCCAGAAGTCCAGACCCGTTCCCCGGGGCCGGCGCTGCGTCCTGAATCGTTTTCTGACGGCCCCGAGGCCCAGCGAGGGCCCCCAGGGCCTGAAAATGGCGAAGAGCCTCCCGTCCTGATTCTTCAAGCGACGCGATCACGTCTGGGCCCCCCCATGGCGACGACGACCGGTGCCCGGGACCTGCTCCGCCGCTCCTCCTACGGCCCCACCCGCTCGGGGGGGCCCCCCGCGGGCACCCCCCCCCCCGTGCACCTTCTGGGGGCGACTTCTTCTGGGGAGGGGAAGCCCCGGTGCTGCGGCAGCTCATCGGAGCTCCCCATGCCATCTTGGGGGTGCTTGCGCACCGATGCGCATCGACGCTGGTCTATACGCGAGTCGACGCTGGGTCGACGCTTCTCGACGCCGAATCGGTACGGCCTTATCGACTAAGATGCCGGGCGCTCTCGCACGCGAATTGGCCCTACAGACGGAATCGCGAAGACATGAATGGCTTCCACGATTTGCTACCGAATCCTGGGGTCTACGGTCGGGTACTGTTGCTTATCGTGTTGCGGCGGCGGCCCCAGCGACACGCTATACCCAGCGAGCGGACAACGTGTCGCTCCGCTCAGCGGGGCGGGAGGCCGGACAAAAACTCGGGATACTGACGCACGGGAACCGCGAAATGGATAGCGTGTCGCGCCAAAGCGTGGTGGGCCAGAACCGGCGGAGCGAAAAGCGAATCAAAAGTTTCTGACCGTAGTAGGGGAACAAACCATGACATAAACATTAACAACTCGGAGGTCCGCGCGGATTTCAAAGATCGCCGCTGGACTCCCGTCCCTGGCACGCACGGCGCGCCAGGGGGCCCCAGCGCAGATCCGAGGAAATAGATCGCGGACCTCCAGATGTTATGACTGTGTAATTGTGCTTCCCCATACGTTGGGAGGCCACGTGCGAGCCCTACCCCACCACCCCACGATTTCTCGGGAGCTCCCGAACGAAGTGGATCTCACCTCCCCGTTCGAAACTCGCGGGGTGGTGGTGGGGGTACGGTCCGCCCGCGGCCTCCTATACGCAGGGCCCGTTTCCCTCAGGACCCCTTTCCTTCACGGCGCCAGTAGAGGCTTCCCAGATGGGGTTGGAGTAGATGGGGTCGGAAGATCGCGCCGAATCGCCGATACATCGGCGATGCTTCGGCGACGTCGACGTGAAGCAAGTCGGGTTCCACATAAAGCCGCATCGGCGATGCATCGGCGATGTGGCACGATCCTCCGACCCCATCTACTCCGACCCCATCTAGGAGGCCTCAAGGCAGGGGAGGATGGACCGAACG